TATCTATGAAAGCCAGATTATCTATGGAAGCTAGAGTATCTATGGAAGCTAGAGTATCTGTGGAAGTTAGAGTATCTATGGAAGCTAGAGTATCTATGGAAGCTAGAGTATCTAAGGAAGCTAGAGTATCTAAGGAAGCTAGAGTATCTAAGGAAGCTAGAGTATCTAAGGAAGCTAGAATATCAATGGAAGTTAGAGTAGCTTCGGGAGCTTGGGGAGTATTGGAAGCTAAAATAGTTTAGGGAGCTATTCTGTATTTTTTGGAAGCTAAGGTAAGTTCGGAAGCTTAGGTAGATTTGAGAGCTATGGTAGCTGGTTTAAGCTTCCAGTAAGGACAGCTAGAGAGGCTTGGATGCTTAATAGCTTTTAGAAGCTTAGGTATCGTGTAAAGCTATGAAAGCTAGGAGAAGTAAAATGTTATCAGGAAGTTAAGCTTGTGAACTTTAGGTTCTAAGAAAGCTAAAGAATCTATTATAGCTTACTAGTTAAAGAAGAAACAGTGCAAGCTGTCTAAAGAAGCTAAATCAAGGATTTCAGAGATATTCCAGTCATAGAAAACAGCTTTAGAAATAGAAAAATAAATAGATAGAGAAACAGAAATTGAGATAGTTGAGATAAAAAATCTCAACTATCTATATTTTTTAGAAATAAAAAATTCTATATTCTATATTTTTTAGAAATAAAATAATCAAATGATTATTTCAAATTTTCCCAAGATACAGATAATATAAGTAAAGCAGACATTATTGATTATGTAAAGGAAATAAAGTTAAATAAACTCCAAATAAGGACAAGGAAGTTTGAAGCAAAAACAGCAAACATAGAATCAAATGAGTAGAAATCCCACTAATTTGGTGTTAATCTTGAAAGACATTGAATGGATCATTTGCCCATTAACCAACGTATCCCATTTAGCTTGTAATTAGTTGAAATGCAACCGAATTGGTTGGGTTTCATTCTTATATTAGGACTGGGTCTCATTTTTATATTATCAGTGGTCTAATAGGTTGGGTATCATTCCTTCCCTCATTCCTTATATATCAGTTCCTTGTCCTCATACCCCAGTTCCTTGTCCTCATATCCCAGTTCCTTGTCCTCATACCCCAGCTCCTTGTCCTCACACCCCAGTTCCTTGTCCTCATATCCCAGTTCCTTGTCCTCATACCCCAGTTCCTTGTCCTCATACCAAAGTTCTTTGTCCTCGTATCCCAGTTCCTTGTCCTCATACCCCAGTTCCTTGTCCTCATACCAAAGTTTCTTGTCCTCGTATCCCAGTTCCTTGTCCTCATACCCCAGTTCCTTGTCCTCATACCCCAGCTCCTTGTCCTCATACCCCAGTTCCTTGTCCTCATACCAAAGTTCTTTGTCCTCGTATCCCAGTTCCTTGTCCTCATATCCCAGTTCCTTGTCCTCATACCCCAGCTCCTTGTCCTCATACCCCAGCTCCTTGTCCTCGTATCCTAGTTCCTTGTCCTCATACCCCAGTTCCTCGTCCTTGGATGAGGAACTTGGATGGATATATATATATATACACATACATATATATTATATATATATATATATATATATATATATATATATATATATATATATATATATATATATATATATATATATATAAAGGCCAGAGGTGCACGGGACCTGGCTGGTAGCTGCCACTGCCAGCTGGGCTGCTGGAGGCCTCTGGTCCACGAGTTCTTAACTAATATTAATTATCATACGTGAATTCTGGTTAGGAAGCAATGATGGAATGCTTAGGGGAGGTGTCAAGTCTTTGCAACAACGGAAAACTATTTTGCAACATTCCCCTAGTGGGCACAATAGCCAATAGCAACGTTAATTCAACGCCAAATCAACATCCTCAACTTGGAATTAATGTTGAATTTAAATTATTAATGATTCGTCATGAGACCAGAATCCTGGATCTGACGAAGGAGGGAATTGTCAGGGATAAGCACCAAGCTATTACGATTATATGGCACTTAGAAGGGTACAGGACAAGGATTTGGGATGGGACGGGGGGATGGAATGGTTTCTTGGAAACGGTACCTGTTGGGTATCATTGCTTCATTGATGTTTCGAGAATCAATTGCAGGTATTGATTTTAGGAGGATAAGCGCCATCTGGAGTAATTTGGTTGATGGAGCCCTGTTAGTAACTCCAGAAACTGGGTTCAACCAATGGAGTTCAGCCCTAGAGTTCTGGTGCTGGTCTATAAACTCATCCAACTGTTCTTAAACTTTTATGTTGAAGCCAAAGTTTTATCCCAGCCGGCCAATAGCCATCCGGCCAGACACATCTTGATACATAATTGAGACAGCTAAGAGGAAGTCAATCTAGCTGTTACAGGCAGAACTAAGGTCAATATTTTCTGTAATGTTGATCTAATTCTACTCGACCCAAGATCTTATGGAACATTTTAAAGAAATATGTGAAATATGTCTTGCAGAACATAACCCAACATTCAATCCTGCAAAATGTGTTGTAGAACCTTTAGCTCACAGGATTAATTTTTCTATTGATCTCAAAGAAAAATTACCAAGCAATTGAGATTGCAATAAAGTATTCTGAAAATCATCTGGGGAATATGATTTCCTCAAAGGAAATAGAAAATCTTGTCTATTTTCCTGATATTAGAAATCTGAATTTGGTCATGATGATATCTGGAGGAAATTAATGTTTACAGTGTCTAAGCTTATATGGATGTGAGGTTTGGGATTTACCACAATACCAGCACTCTCTCCCACAACTATTTAACACCTACCACCCCCCTCCCACAACCATCTAAGACCCACCACCCCCTCCCACAACCATCTAACACCTACCACTTCCCTCCCACCACAGTCAAATAAATCAACACCAAAGCGTATGAGAGAAGTCTAACATCATAAACTCAGTCCAATATTCAAACATTTACTCGCACCGTACCCAATTTCAATTTAATTTCCATTAATAATTGAATTTATTGAAAAATATGCATTTTAGGGGAAGGGTTGTTTAAAATTATAATTGAGAAAATATTTACATCTTATCAATAAGAGAAAATTTCTGTCTGAATAATGTTGGAGACCAGAGGTCTCCGGCTAGTTTCACCAAACTTTGCACAGGGATTGATGACGGGAAGGTGACCAACATGAATGGGTCAGGGTCGATCCCATTGCTCCCAATACAAAGGATTGTTATATATATATATATATATATATATATATATATATATATATATATATATATATATATATATATATATATATATATATGCGGAAAATCCACAGAGAAATATGAAATGAGGTGAACGTTTCGGCTTGTTAAAGCCTTTGTCAACACCAGACTGACGAAGGAGAAGGGAGAAGGGGGAGGATATATAGGCCGACACCTGACCAACCCATCCCTAGGGTTGGTCAGGTGTCATTAACCAAAAACAGGTATAGCTTAGCTTAGAATGGTCAAAGAGGATTAAGCGGTCAGAGAATAAGGATGAAAGATTAAAGAAAAGCCTCATGAACACACAATATATGAATATACAATTATAATGAGACATTGTAAGCCTCTCTATCAGAGTTGTTTCTTAAATTGTTGTGCAATATTATAACTTAAAAATGGATCAAGTTTGTACATTCCAGTACTAAATATATATATATATATATATATATATATATATATATATATATATATATATATATATATATATATATATATATATAGGGCTGTCATAGGCGGGTAGGGGTCGGCCCCCAATTGTGCAACCTACCTAGTTTTTCTATATTAAAGGGTTCCTACGAGTTAATTTTACTTTTGTTTTCATTCATGCATTTATTAATCTTCTCGCGTGTTAAACATACACTTTTTTTTAAATTTTCAGAATGATATCAAGCGGTTTTGTTTGCAAGATTATGTTTGTCTGTTCATCCAAAGTCCTTCGGTAATATATTGGAATATGTAAACACGCGCATTTGGAGCGTAAAAAAGTATAATTTAAATTTTCATTCTGAACTGTAATGGTATTCACATACCTTCCGTCTCTGTCACAGTCACAGTTACTGTCACAGTTACTGTCACTGTCACAGTCACTGTCGAGGTCACTGTCGAGGTCACTACCTGGTTGAGGGACCTTAAGAGCATTTGAAGTCTCAGTCAAGTATTATACCTCAACAAAGGAGAATGGTGAGATAAATATATAGGTTCACTTAACACAGTTTGGGCTTTAGTGGCGTTTAGGAAAATATGTTAGTATATATATATATATATATATATATATATATATATATATATATATATATATATATATATATATATATATATATATATATATATATGTCGTACCTAGTAGCCAGAACGCACTTCTCAGCCTACTATGTAGGGCCCGATTTGCCTAATAAGCCAAGTTTTCATGAATTAATTGCTTTTCGACTACCTAACCTACCTAACCTGACTTAACCTAATTTTTTCGGCTACCTAACCTAACCTAACCTATAAAGATAGGTTAAGTAACCTAACCTATAAAGATAGGTTAGGTTAGGTTAGGTAGGGTTGGTTAGGTTCGGTCATATATCTACGTTAATTTTATCTCCAATAAAAAAAAATTGATCTCATACATAATGAAATGGGTAGCTTTATCATTTCATAAGAAAAAAATTAGAGAAAATATATTAATTCAGGAAAACTTGGCTTATTAGGCAAATCGGGCCTTGCATAGTAGGCTGAGAAGTGCGTTCTGGCTACTAGGTACGACATATATATATATATATATATATATATATATATATATATATATATATATATATATATATATATATATATATATATATATAAAGAAAAATTGTTTCAGAGGTTCAGTCTTTAAGTAAAACATTAAAACTGCAATAATTAATTTTATGCTACATATTATAAAAGTTATTTATAGTTAATATCCGATATAACTATTTCAAATGTGTAGATGTTTATTTACCCAAATTGTGTATATGTATTTTATTAGCGAAAACTAACGTTATTTTTTTTTTCAGGAACTGGCAAGGAAAGGACAAAGTTGCAGATTATGAAACCTGTTGCTGAGTATGAGTTGAATCACATGAGGGAGGTGTGAGTATTCTGAGCGAGGTCCTCAGGTCCCTACGAACTTCATGAAGCGAAGTAGAGAGGTTGGCGAACGAGATCAAGCGCCTTCACATATGGTGAGATCGGCTGACAATCTTGCCAGCAATGATGACGAAGGGGAGGAAATCTCCTCCGACACGCAGATTACATCTTCAGTCCTCTTTTGTGGTGTTGGTGATGAAGGCTCTGGTGTTGTGGAGGACGGTAGAGGGAAGTGTAGAGGCTGCAGGAGGCTTCCGGGCTGACTCGAACTCCTCCTGTTTAGAAGGGTGTTCTTGTGGAATCATTCTCTCTAAACACCTTCACGAGGAACTGACTACTTTTGACTGTTCGTTTTCAAATATGAAAAGTTTTCCAGATAAGTTGCCAAGTGATCTACAAGTGCTAAGTGTCAGGGGGAACTCGATTTACCACGTTTTGGGAAACTTATCACAACTTATTGACCTCAGAGAACTTGATTTATCCGGCAATAGAATCAAGTCTATCGGGAGAGGAGGCATGTTTCAGAACATGTCACGTCTTGTGTACCTAAATGTGGGAAAGAACACTATTTCCACCATCTTCCACGACAACTTGGTTGGTCCAAAAGGGCTTGAACACCTTGTGCTCTCAAACAATAAGATCAACTATATTGAAGACGAAGCTTTGGTTGACCTCAAGAAACTACAAACTCTCGATCTTGAACAGAACTTTCTGGGCTCGTTGTACGAGGAATGGTTCCATGGCCTGAACCACCTAGTGGTCCTAAATCTTGCCCATAACAGGATACACAACATACCAGGATCTGTGTTTCGGGCCCTAGGCTCCTTAGAGCGCCTATATCTGGCTGGAAATCGGATTTCCACCGTAGATCCACGTGCTTTTTCAGGTCTTATAAGTCTTCAGGCTCTGACACTGGAAGATAATCTACTTGAGAGGATCCCAACCTCGGCATTTCAGAGTCTGCCAGTGTTGGAAACTCTTACTCTCGATCAAAACCCACTTACCAAGATCAAACCCCTTGATTTTTCCCACCTCACTGTATCTAAGATCAGTTTGTGTTTTATGCCAGAGCTCAATATCATAGATTCCAAAGCATTTTACAACCTAGTTAACATAACGGTGATTGAAATAATTAACAATGAGAAGTTAGCATATATAGATCCACTAGCTTTCATGAACGTGGATTCCCTGAAGGAACTGCGGATTAATAATAATAAGTTGGAAGGCATACAGAAAGAAATGGCTAAATATATGCCAGAAGGAGTTGAGATCTCAATACATAATAACCCTCTTAGATGCGATTGTAATGTAAGGTGGTTGAGACAGCTGATTGGTCTAGGGGATAATGGTAATGTGAGCCTACAAGAGCCTGAGCATTTAGTGTGCCACAGTCCTCCTACTTTAGCACATAAGCTGCTCAAAGACGTCATTCTCTCCAAACTTCCCAGAATGTGTGCTCCTACGGTTCTCAACTTGACACAAGCACAGAACGTGTTGGGTAAAGTTGGTGAACGCCAGGTGTTGGAATGCCGTGCTCTAGGCTCACCCCGGCCAAGATTACACTGGCTTTTACCAGATGGATCGCTGGTTAATTCCACCTTGAATGAGGTTAGACGTCGATTTTTCCCTCCTGGGACATTAGTGTACTATCACCTCAAACCAACAGATCGTGGGTCATACACATGCGTGGCTGAGAATGCAATTAATAAAACTAACAGTTCCATAACTCTCAATGTCACTGGCATTGATATGCATCTGTTTCCGATTCGCATTTCATCAACATTTGTTACACTGGTGTGGAACGGCACTGAACGCCGGGCCTTTCCTTCCTACAAGATTGTCTACACCGAACTCGCCTCCAATGGCAGCGAAGTAGGTGAGAAACGGTTCAGCATGACTAGTCCTTCGAGGAAGACCTTCACTATCAGTCGTCTAGAGCCGGAAACTCATTATCGTTTCTGTATCGGTAACGAGGATAGCACCGGCTACTGGCTCCAGATTTCCTGCTGTGCCGCCACCACACAAGACGTCGACTTTATGATGCAAGGAATCTCCCGGACCTCGAATGTTGCCGTCGCTGCCGTAGTTGGGATCGTGTTGGTAATGACTGTAGTAGTGTGTCTCATGTCCGTTCTATCTAGGAAGTACCGACAACGGATGTACGAGACGCCGGATAAGAGCAACGAAGGCTCAATCATTCAACTGGATAACTTATACCGGCCGCTTCTGACTGGATCTTGACGTTTAGGAGCGGGCGACGGGTACCATCCTTCGCTGCTGAGTCGGACTTCATGTTGTTCAGCGGATCCCTCGTCACCTGGGCCTCTAACACCTCCTCCTCGAACGAGGGCCTTCTCTACCCCTCACAGCAGTCCTATAGACACACCTACACCACCAGCACGCCATAACATACTCGAAGACTGCTCCTGTTCTCCACAGAGGTAAGTCCTGTGGGTATTTATTCGGTAACAATGAATATATACTTTATAACACAACCTTTTATTTGCATTATGCCAACAAGCTTGAATGGTCCCCCAGGCATATATGCTACTGAAAACTCCACACCCTATAAGTGACTCGAACCCAGACCGCCAGGAGCACAATTCAACTGGTGTACATGATATCTTAACCACTTGACCATCAGTGATTTGCATCATATATGATTTTGAACGTTTGGGAAAACACACACACACACACACACACACACACACACACACACACACACACACACACACACACACACACACACACACACACAACATGATAGAGCCCAGTAGGCTCAGGAACCTGTACACCTGTTGACTGACGGTTGAGAGGCGGGACTAAAGAGCCAGAGCTCAACCCCCGCAAGTACAACTAGGTAAGCACAACTAGGTGAGTACACATACGCACACACACACACACACACACACACACACACACACACACACACACACACACACACACACACACACACACACACACACACACACACACACACACACACGCATCATATGTGCTCATGAACGCATAATTTGAATTAGAACATTTGAACATAAAAACTTATACAAATTATTACAATATACGACAGGTTAAATATGTAAACAACACTGGAAATACAAAACAATGTATTTCAAAGCAACATGAACCTGTGTTCCATCGTTCTCAGTGTTCTTCAGAACTATTAAACACGCTGAACCTGAATCAGTGAAGAACATATACAGTGAACAATTCCCATTGTTCCACCTCAGTGGAAGGGTGAACAGATGTCAGTTCACTGTGATAGATGAATGATACTCACACGAAGTCATCACTCATACGAGACTCATCATCTCTCATCAGAGAGATGAGTTTTACAATGACAGCAAAACGACAAAGTGAAATTGATTTTTCTTGACTCAGGACTCATCTAGATGTGAGTAACCATTCCATGTCCTTCGCACATATGGGATTGCCTTTGTGAATCGAATGGTCAAAGGTGCAGAGGAAAGACTTTAATTACGTTCCTGTGTGTCACTGTTTGTTCATTATACAAATTCGAGGACGGGATACGAGGGAACTGACACAATAGGACTTTAGCTGAACTTAGGAGACTGACCCAAGAGAATAGACAGAGGTGGATTGACCTACAAGGATAGAGAGCCTTATAGAATGTGTGGGATGCAATTTATTGTGAGAATGGGATGATGGATTTTGATTATGAGAATGGATAGAGGTTATGTGAGGATAGAAAAGCTTTGCTATCCCATGTAGGCACCTGCATGGATCCCACCTATACGTTATATGGAATAGAATATATGTTGTCACCTGAACTATCCTCACCCCTATCCTCATACACCTTCCTAGTACTCCTACTCGCATGTGGCTCAGTAACCCAGTATCTGGACACCATTCCTTTCCCCCGTCCCATCCCAAATCCTTATCCTGACCCCTTCCCAGTGCTATATATAGTCGTAATGGCTTGCCACATTCTTCTGAGACTTCCCTTACCTTCAGTACTAACTTGTAAACATCTCGCCCCCAAAATAGATGGTCGTTGTTCAAACGCAGGAAACGATAATAATGAGAAAACACTAAGCCACAATGATTATATAACCCATGGATGGGATATGCGACAGACTAAGAACTGAGGGATTGAAGATAATTATAAGGAGAAGGAGCATATTGCATGGCTATATAACCAGCCTATTCTTTGGATTATCCACTATGTACAAACCACAACAGACTAACATAACCAGAGACGTACATATCCAAGCAACACACCTACCCTAACCTAACCTAATCCCAACCAGTGTATAGAAATCGTGGAAATTTGTTAGCCACTATTGCTCATAGCACTTTGGTATTTGTATATGGTGGACCATAAGACATACACACACACACAATATATATATATATATATATATATATATATATATATATATATATATATATATATATATATATATATATATATATATTATTAAATATGACCGAATTTTGGTCATATTTAATAATATATGTCTACAGGAAAGACTGCTACCAAAATATACTATATATATATATATATATATATATATATATATATATATATATATATATATATATATATATATATATATATATATATATACTCCTGGCTGGGAGCTATGCAAGATGCATCAGACACTCTGAGATAGAGCAATTAAACTAATATAAATTCAGGCAACGCACCACAGTAACCGACTTACACGAGGCGCTGAGCAAAGTTGTCAGCTAACGAGGCAATGAGTAACTAGGCAACGTTCGTAGCTAACGAGATAAAGTATAACTAGACCAAACTTCCAGCTAACGAGACAATCATGAATTTGACTAAATTGTCAACTAACGACACAACTAGGCAAAGTTTGCAACTAATTGAACAGTGAACAACTAAGAAACGTTGCCAGCTAACGAGGTAACAGGTAACTAGGCAGGTTTTCCAGCTAACAAGGCAATGAAAAACCAGGAAAAATTAATAGCTATCAAAAAAACTATTCACCAATTTGCTGAAAGAAATTTTAAATGCAAATAACGAAGGGAATATGAACACTAGATACGAAACCTATACATCTTCCCGCAATCATGGGTGCTAAGTTGCATTTATTCAACACTTCACGGGCTCCTATGTACTAAGAGGTTACACACACACAAGCCACAATAGTGTGATATATCAAATGAACAAATCCACCAGGGCTGTGATGAGGGTTCGAATCTACACACGGGATTTCTTCAAGCCTTATGAGGTTATTTATGACAATAATAATCTAGAATTGTGAGGTCTCCATGGCTGAGGTAAGATGTACAGGTTTCGTTAGTGAAAGTTTGAGTACTGGATAAGGCAGTGGTGTTATGGTTATCTTGAGGTTATCTTGAGGTTATCTTGAGATGATTTTGGGGCTTAGCGTACCCGCGGCCCGGTCCTTCGACCAGGCCTCCTTTTTGTTACACACCCCCAGGAAGCAGCCCGTAGCAGCTGTCTAGCTCCCAGGTACCTATTTACTGCTAGGTGAAGAGCGGCATCAGGGTGAAAGACACTCTTTGTTTCCGCCTCCACTGTGGATCGAACCATTACCTGGCTTCTATTCCAAGATGTTTCTTAAGCATTATCATTGTCCATATATCATAAATTTGGGACCTGGGTGTAAAACTAGTAAGAAAAAGTAGTTCTAGGGAAAAATTAAGACGCTGATTAACCTAACTGGTTTCTATTTTGGCGCGAAAAGAAATCTTCGACGGTTCAATCCCATTCAACAGCTCATACAAGACCCATTATTAATAGCATCTGAAGACCATTACCCCTTCAACGTTATCTTGAGATGATTTCAGGGCTTTAGTGTCCCCGCGGCCCGGTCCTCGACCAGGCCTTCACCCCCAGGAAGCAGCCCGTGACAGCTGACTAACACCCAGGTACCTATTTTACTGCTAGGTAACAGGGGCATAGGGTGAAAGAAACTCTGCCCATTGTTTCTCGCCGGCGCCTGGGATCGAACCCAGGACCACAGGATCACAAGTCCAGTGTGCTGTCCGCTCGGCCGACCGGCTCCCCTATAATAGATAGTCCTATAATTCCTTGTGTTAATTACTGTATTTGCATATTTTTTATAATTTATTTAATTAATGATTTGCGGTTTATATTAATATATAATCAGTTATCGTTATGTTATTGTTCTAAATGATGTTAACTGTGTTATTTAGTGCTTCGGCGACGATATTAGTTCAACTATTTGGATTGGTCGGTTCACCGGCGGACTGGCTTTTGCAGGTCGGCGTTCGATCCCCTATGGTCCAAGTGATTGAACAAGGTTTTTTTTAAACTTTGGCTTCATAACCCAGTTCCTTGTCCTCATATCCATGCTACTTGTCCTCATATCACAGCTCTTTGGCCTCATATCCCAGCTCCTTATCCTCATGTCCAAGTTCCTTGTCCTTATATCCTAGCTCCTTGATCTCATATCCCAGCTCCTTATCCTCAAATTCCAGCTCCTTGACCCCATATCCCAGCTCCTTGTCCTCATATCCCAGCTTCTTATCCTCATATACCAGCTCCTTGTCCTCATATCCCAGCTCCTTATCCTCACATCCCAGCTCCTTGTCCTCATATCCCAGCTCCTTGTCCTCATATCCCAGCTCCTTGTCCTCATACCCCAGCTCCTTGTCCTCATATCCCAGCTCCTTGTTCTCATACCCGAGCTCCTTGTCCTCATATCCCAGCTCCTTGTCCCTATATCTCAGCTCCTTATCCTCATATCCCAGCTCCTTATCCTCATATCCCAGATCCTTGTCCTCATATCCCAGCTCCTTGTCCTCATATCCCAGCTCCTTGTCCTCATATCCCAGCTCCTTGTCCTCATATCCCAGCTCCTTGTCCTCATATCCCAGCTCCTTGTCCTCATACCCCAGCTCCTTGTCCTCATATCCCAGCTCCTTGTCCTCATATCCCAGCTCCTTGTCTTCATATCCCAGCTCCTTGTCTTCATATCCCAGCTCCTTATCTTCATACCCCAGCTCCTTGTCCTCATATCCTAGCTCCCTGTCCTCATACCCCAGCTTCTTATCCTCATATCCCAGCTCCTTGTCCTCATACCCCAGCTCCTTGGCCTCATATCCCAGCTCCTTGTCCCTAAATCCCAGCTCCTTATCCTCATATCCCAGCTCCTTGTCCCTAAATCCCAGCTCCTTATCCTCATATCCCAGCTCCTTGTCCTCATATCCCAGCTCCTTGTCCTCATATCCCAGCTCCTTATCCTCATATCACTTCCAAGTGCAGTAAAATCATGCTGGCTTAGCGCTTTCTCCTCATAGTTTGGTTCACCAATAATTCATCATTAACTCATCTGATTTATGCATGAAAAAACTTGCAAGATCTAAAAATACTATTTTCAGTCTTTCTCTTTTTTTTAGGTTCTGAAGATGAATCAGGAGGATCTAAAATGCAATGAATATATATATTGCACATTGCATTGATCATCAATGCTTTAAGCAACGGCAGATATCACGTTATCAATATGCTGTGGACATGATCACGACATAAGATGGAGACCTGATCCCAAACATTCTGATATTCCAAGTTAAGCATTGTATGCAAGTAATTAATGTATGAATGAAGACAAAATGATATATATATATATATATATATATATATATATATATATATATATATATATATATATATATATATATATATATATATATATATATATATATATATATATATAAACCCACAAGAGTTTTATGTATATATATTATACATATAAATCCTAAAAAAATATCTAAACTCAAAAAATGAAAATATAGAAAAAAATAAGCTCAAGATACTTCGCTATCCTCCTCGCTATCCTCTAAGTCGTTCATTGGCTCTAAATAGAACTCCCACGACCAGAAATAGAGTGAACAGGCCTTCTATTCCCTTGCAACTTTGGGAGGACGACAATCTACTCCACACCACCAAGCTTCTTCAATCTACTCTACACCACTTAGACAAGTCTCTCATTCAATATGAAAGGTTCTCTCTCATTATGAGGATTCGAATGAGTCTACGATGGGAGTTATGTTCAGTCTTTACTCTATATGAGATCCGGATGAGAACAGAGAAGAGCCGTTATATAATTAGTTGATATAGGAGCTTTGGAAGATCGAAGCATCGGAAATTTCAGGTGAGTTTTAAGTGTATTATTAATTAACCTTTTTGTATTCAACGTGATTAAATTGTAATATTGGCCATAAAGTATATATATATATATATATATATATATATATATATATATATATATATATATATATATATATATATATATATATATATATATATATATACGGTCATATATATATATTATACCGCATATATATATATATATATATATATATATATATATATATATATATATATATATATATATATATATATATATATATATATATATATATATATATATATATATATATATATATATATATATATATATATATATATATATATATATATATATATATATATATCACCTTCCCTACCCTTCACCATCTTCCCTACCCTTCACCACCTTCCCAAAAATATACCTGGTGCCATCTATCGTCATAAAATTACACTATTAACCGAACAGCAGCCTTAAGATACAGCTTATGCCATCTATCGACAGACACGTACACTGTATTCAAGCAAACAGGGACCAATCAGGCAAGTTGTTGTTCTGATGGAAGCATTTCATTGGTAGAAACTCTTTGTTGACATTCGTCACAACAGCCAATCACAGGAAGGGATCAGCAAGTAGCTTCACTTCCTATTGATATCATTTATTTTGTCAATAAAATTTAGATTATATAAAGGAGTACACAACTATAGATGCATTATGATATCTTAAAGAGTAACTAAAGTTACTGCAGATATCTAGGTACCAAATACCAGCACGATATAAAATCTTACTATACGATACGGAAGGGTGGCAGCCATTACGTCTATATAGCACTTGGAAGGGGCCAGGATAAGAATTTGGGATTGGACGGAGGGAAGAAATGGTGCCCCAACCACTTGTGGACGGTCTGGGATTGAACCCAGACCTGCATGAACTGAAACCGTCGCTCTACCGTCCACCCCAAGTGGTTGGAGATAAGATACGGTGGAGTGGATTTTTTGGTGGCCTGTTTCATGCAGAATGCCGTTCGATTCCCGTATATCCAATTGTTTGGACACCATTTCCAATCACCGTATTCTCCCGAGTCCTTGTTCCGATATCCCTTCCAAGTGCTATATAGTCGTATTGCCTTTCCGCTATCTCCGGATAACACCCTAACACCATGCAATATCAGAAATAAAAATTTTAGATCACAGAGGGGAGATGAGGCATACCAGTCTGAGAATGAACTTCTCATATCTGGGAGGCATATGGAAAAATATGTATTCATGTGATAACCAAATCCCATGTCATGATATCGATTTACAGCAATTTGTAAACAGTGTTTCCAGAATAGCAATCTGCAGTGAAGGTCATAGAGAGCCCATCTGCATGTACAGTGTTGCAAGGGTGCAGCTGGAAGTGGTTTCAGGGTGCAATTCATGGCAGTAGTTAAGTGAATAGCAATTAAGATCTATCCTCTATACAGCCAATCTATTTCCACAAATACAGGAGATTAGAATAATCAGTATAGCATTCAGTAATGGGATATTTTATTGAATTAAAGGGTGCAATTCATGGCAGTAGTTAAGTGAATAGCAATTAAGATCTATCCTCTATACAGCCAATCTATTTCCACAAATACAGGAGATTAGAATAATCAGTATAGCATTCAGTAATGGGATATTTTATTGAATTAAAGGGTGCAATTCATGGCAGTAGTTAAGTGAATAGCAATTAAGATCTATCCTCTATACAGCCAATCTATTTCCACAAATACAGGAGATTAGAATAATCAGTATAGCATTCAGTAATGGGATATTTTATTGAATTAAAGGGTGCAATTCATGGCAGTAGTTAAGTGAATAGCAATTAAGATCTATCCTCTATACAGCCAATCTATTTCCACAAATACAGGAGATTAGAATAATCAGTATAGCATTCAGTAATGGGATATTTTATTGAATTAAAGTATCGATCAACAATGTTGAAAATAGTAACTAAAAAGTTTAAATAGTCCTTTGAACTCAAAGGCTTTATTGACTAAATACTCGAACTAAATCAGTATGTCATCGTTAGAACAGATCCAACAAATACTTCAACTGAAACTGGAAACTGAGCTTCCACTCTCCTCGAACGAGACAAACGTAACTTTCGTTTATTGCTGTACGAGATTGTGAAGGCCTGAAATTGCAACAATAAGATAACATTCTACTCTGAAGGAGAACTGGAAGTTGATATCCTGATATCTAAACACATTCAGATTAAACTTATGCAAAGTTGATGGTCTAAGTTTATTTGGGTTAAACTTATGTTAGAATGAAAGAGCAATGTTGCTCTAGACCAAAAAGAACATATAATATCACAAAATGTTTAGATTTAATATAAAACGACTAATGTTTATAACTTAATAAACTAATCCACAAGGGCCGTGATGAGGATTCGAACCTGCGTCCGAGAGTGTAGTGTAGTGTAGTGTATAACATAATGTCTAGATCAGCGCTCTCAGTCCTTGCATCGTTGTGTAATTATCTCACTTTGTCAACTGGATAATCAGCTTAATCTCTGAGATAACATTGCAACAATGACTTTATAAACAAGGTAATTAACTTTTCTCTGAAATAATATTGCAAAAATAACTTCTTGAAAAAGGTAAATATTTTTTTTTATCGTTTTGGTAAAAAAAATTTTTATTTCACTTTCTCAGATTTCTGAGAAAGTGAAATAAAACAGGATTAACAAAACCTGTGTTAAATCACTTGTTATATTTTCGTCAATTTCAATACACGATTTTTCATATCTCAAAAATTTGAATTACACTGAGGCACTTTAATATATATAAATATATCATTCACGGTGTAGAAAAACACCCGAGCAACTCTATAAGGATTAAAAGATAATAAAAACATAGCAATTAAAAAACTATCCCATACGAGTTAGCTTCTATATATATCCGCCACAACTCTTATTATATATATGGTCCCCAGTCATATATGCAACTGAAAACTCACACCCCAGAAGTGATTCTAACCCATACTGTCAGGAGCACTCTGCAACTGGTGTACAGGACCCCCTTAACCATTCGACCACCACGACCGGACAAAAGATGATGGTAGCCGAGGCTAATTCCCCATCATCCTGCCGGCACTCTGATGGTAATCTTGAACATGGTATTTTATCAAATCACCTCATTCTTTGGAGCACACGTGAGGAACACAAATGCGAACAATATATATATATATATATATATATATATATATATATATATATATATATATATATATATATATATATATATATATATATATATATATATATATATATATAAAGGATTCGAACCTGAGCTGCCAGAGGTAACCCAACTGACTTGCACAGTACTTATATACCATTCCACTAGCAGTATTTTGTAGGGTAGATTATGACAAGTAAATATATCTAGGAAACCTTTGGGTGTTTGAACATCTTTAAACACAACTGTAAATAAGCTCAAGACAAGAAAATTGTCTACCTAGTAACTTTATGAGCTGCTAGGTGGCTAGGGAATGCCCCCTAGCCACCTAGGAAGTTTGCTGAGGTCTTCTAGCACTCCCACACGCTAGCCATATTATCACTAAGTTAGATCGAAAGGGTCTTATAGGCAATAAAATATTTATAGGGGCTTATATACTGCTGCTAAATGATTATCGTCCACGAGCCTAATCACCAATTACGACTTAACTATTGGTGACAGCGGAGAGCGTGCAATACCACAGGGACCTGGTGACGCTAGTATGTCTCCTCACACTCCACGATGGCACCCGTCTCATACATAAATATATGTATTATGTATGAAATGAAGCAATAATTGGCGCCATTATCGCTACATTGCATCGTTATTTTAACGTATTTTCTGGATCGGCTTCGATAGGTTAGGTGGTTTTGCTTGGATTCGTACGTATGTGGTTATGCAAAACAGTGTACAATTTCTTACGGAGTGGCAAATGAAGAGAAAGGCATCATTAGCATTCGATTTTTGGATTAGAAATTGAGCGGCGGATCGAGCGTGCTCTCCCTGTGACGTTTCAAAGGTGACTGAGAGCCTTACTCGCCAGTCAGAGGGAAGGACATTTGAATTATATCACTCAGCGCTCTCATTGGACAAATTTTCAAATCTCAACCAATCGGAATTAACCTCGATATATCCTCTTGCGACATCCTTATAAATGCCATATGAAGACCATCACTGCTCAAAATCAAATACAACAAAGGCAATTGTTTGGAATTCAAATGAAGAGTCCTAAAATAGAATTCAAAATACAAAATATAAATATTTAAATAAAAATAAATTAATCAAAAACACAACAGAGTAAAACATTACAAATCTGACCATTATATAGTTAATAAACTTAAAAAAACAAAATTGATAACTGTTGGATAGATATCTGAGTTGATGTAAAGAAATTATTCATCTCAAACGTTGTTCATAATGAATGTAACTCTCACTCTAGTAAGTGAAGTCTTAAATACCTCACATTGTGCATACGA